ACATTAAGTTGACGAAACACTCGAGACAAATGTAATTAAAGTCAAATCGTGTTTTAGACGGGGCAGTGATATCATAAACCTATTAATGTACGCATTCAAACACTTTTTCTTTTGCCAGCTGTATTCACCTTGCAGGTGCAGCTATGTGGCTTTTATCCTGGATAAAGTGTTTAAGTCATGGATGTTTAAAGTTTAACTTCTTCATTTTTGACTAGTATTACAGTTCACTTTTCATTCAGGAAGTATGACGCTGCGCTGTCAGTACGCTTCTCCATGTTTGTGATTGGTCGAATGCTCCAAATACCACCCCTCTCATGTGAACGCGCACCTAACTAGATAGGAAACGGCTGGCTTGAGCGATCCACTTGATAACCAGCGTCGTTGTACAGTTTAGCGAGAGCGCGTATGTTTTGGATTAGGCCAACCGGCTAACTCAAACATATCCAGGTTAGGTTGAACCAGCTTCGTAGTATAGGCCCCAGGCATCTTTGAGATAATACAATTTTGTTCAGGAAGCCAAATTGAAAGGTCTGGAAAGTAGTGAAAATAATTCTCGTTTCCACAGTTCAGTCACGCGTTCTGCAGGGTCATGCTAGTTGTGGCGAATGTGGCTTACGTAGCATGATGCCTCTCCCTGGAAAACAAAAGGAATTATATGACGTATGTAGGTGGTTGTACTCCACAAGACCTGGTAAATGCCAATGTGTACATTTGGGTGTTCTCTTTTATGTTGAGATTACAACTTTTTTTTTAATATGTTTGAAATAGTGTCTTGGATTGCCTTTTTTTCTACAACACCTGAAATCCCCCTGCAGGTAATTGTACACATGCATTAAATGATCTGACGTTGTCGGCAGGATTCAAACTTGCGCGGGGAGACCCCAATGGATTTCTAGTCCATCGCCTTAACCACTCGGCCAAAAATGGGGCAAAAGGGACTGCTAGGTGGGGGAAAGAAGAGGAAAAGGAGGGGGGAAAGGGAGGGGGAAGAAAGAAAGAAAAAAGGAGACTTTATAGTACTCTAAGGCCAATAAACCCATTTCATTTTCACCCATTTACAAAATGTTGAAACGTTTAGCATAGAAAAACAAAAACACAAGTAAACGTATGCTTTCCCATATTATTTTTATTATTTCTGGAATGCCATGACAACGATAAACATCTTATACAACACTATTATGAACACACAGATAAAAGGGGTACATTCTATACAACATTATTATGAACACACAGATAAAAGGGGTACATTCTATACAACAACAGTAAAAGAGCTTACTTCTTGTCTAGAGAGCCTGTCCATTCTGCTAGGGTCTGTCCAGATGCTGGACAGTACCATTTACCCTTAAGCTGGGTATGGCCACTGCTCTTTCTTTTCGACTGACCACAGCTTTTGCATTGGTAGTGGTAGTCCTCTTTTATGAGTCGCTTCTTCGGCGGCTCCCCTCTTGCCGCAAGCACCTGGTCCTCTTTTGCTGTCTTTTCATGCCGCCATTTCCTGCGCCTATTTAGGTCGACAGAGGAATGCTGAGGAATAGGGGCTTGTGAAGATGAAGCAGTAGGCGGAGCAGGTGGAAGGTGACCCGGGCCTGCAGGCACGGGGAACTGCCATGAGGCAGGAGACGGTGCTGAAGGCACGGGGTACTGCCATGAGGCAGGAGATGGTGCTGGAGGCACGGGGTACTGCCATGAGGCAGGAGATGGTGCTGGAGGCACGGGGTACTGCCATGAGGCAGGAGATGGTGCTGGAGGCATGGGGTACTGCCAAAATGCAGGAGATGGGGCTGGAGGCATGTGGTACTGCCAAAATGCAGGAGATGGGGCTGGAGGCATGGGGTACTGCCAAAATGCAGGAGATGGGGCTGGAGGCATGGGGTACTGCCAAAATGCAGGAGATGGGGCTTGTGGAAGGTGACCCTGCGTGTGCGTGGATGAGTCAGAAGAACCTGAGTCAGTTCTGGCACTGCGACGCTGGCGTATCAATGCCTCACCCTCCCTATTGTCAGGCTCCTGGATTTCTAGGATAACATGTCCGTGCTGCACTGGTTCAGTAGGGAGCTCCCTCGGTAATGGCAAGGAATCCTCAGCTGCCGTTGCCTTTTCGGGAAGCTGCACTCCTTGGAGCAATGAGTCCCGAGCGGTTCTTTTTTGTCTGTCTTGTAACCTAGAGAGACATACAAAATATTGAGAATTTCATACAAAGTGAATCCATCTAAAGTGCAGCTGTTAAAGAGAATGTAGCCAACATATCTTACCAACAAGACACAGTGGTGTTGTTTATAGTGACAAGAACCAAGTCGGTCTTCTCCTGTACGACGAGGCTGTCTTCCAGCAGTTGCTTTATGTGGACGTAAGATTGCACCATCGACTGCGGAATAGGCAAGGTTTTACCCTTGCTGTCTTTGGGTCGGTTTCTTGCAAGCTCAAACTCCTTCAAAAGCCTGAGTGAAACACATTCACATATGCGGTTGGCATCAGGTCTCAGAGCAGCCTGCCATGGCAGGTCATGAATAGTCTGTGAAGGGAAAAGACAATTTATAAATATTATACAGATATACAGTACAACCCCACTTCACAAATGGACTATACCAGTTCATTTGTCTGAATCCATTACTAAGTGTCTAAAATGCTGTGAGGGTTAGACATACAAAACAACTACTTACTACTAACTACTTAAGATATATGTGAATTATGTAATGTGTGCATCCACTATAAGTCAGTTCACCTTTCAGCTGCTTGTTGGCCTGGCGCAGAGCCACTTCGTTTCCTGGAAGCTCTCCATGGTCCAGGCAAGGTCCTTTTTTTGGACTTCAGGCTATAGGTTGTGGGTTGCTTATCCATTTGATGTAGCTTTGAATACAGCCTCACTATGTCATCCGTCTCGCCTAGTGATAATGCCGTTATTGTTCTATTAAGTAGAACAAGATACTTGGCCAAGTCATCCACAGCCTCCCATCCCTGAACACCTCGAGAATCACAGCGGGTATTCTGAAAAATGAACAACCATTGATAAATGACTGATAAATGGTCACATGACCTGAGCCGATGTCCTGGGCGCAGAGACGTTTTTGTCAGAAGTACACATCTGGCAGGACTGTGAGACATCATCGTGCTATAAGCACACAACACCAATTGACTATTTGAGACTTAATGAAACAAGTTATTCATAGCATGTGCAGAGCAATAATTAATCCAGAAGAATTTAAAAACAATGTGATTTTACAATAGGTCAGATTACCTGAGAGGTTGTGTAAGTGGACGCGTCGGGTGAGTCAGCAGGAAGAGAAATAGTGGATTCAGGCCGGGGCTCTTCAGGTGGGCTCTCAGCTGCATCACTTTGGGGGGATAGTGCCAACGACTGTACAGCCGTACCGGCCGTGAGAGACAAACAGTTGAGTAAAAATATCCTTGAAATTGATATTGCCATAAAAATGTATCTAAATGCATGCAACACAAAAAGACAAATGTAGCCTATGCGATAAAAACATAATTCAAAGCATGTATGTTCTTCTCGAATTCATATGCCAGGGCAATAAAACAATAATCAGATTACCTGAGATGATGTGTGAGGTGATGCACCGCGGGGTGCTGAAGTGTCCACTTCCGAGGGGTGCTGACTGAAGATCTCCACTGCATCACTAATTGTGATGTCAAGGCACTCCTCCTCCTCCTCCTGAACTTCAACCTGGCGGTCTGGAACAATGGTGCCAAGTTCACTGTCCTGTTGTGGACCCAGCAGATCTCCTCTGTCAGACTGAGCCAGCAAATACTCCACAGCTATACGCTCACCTGCCATAAAATAAATTATGAAAAAGTAAATGTTTAAATTTGGAGAAATAGACAAGTTGCTACTAGAAAGAACAAGAACAGAAAGGCCTAGTTGCAGTGAAAATGGGGTGTCCTGAAGTGACTTACCAGTGGGTTTCCCAGGGGGGATGAATTCCGGTAGTAGCGCACAACCAAGAACTCGCTGGCTGAGGGCATTTAAATTAGTCTTCAGTCGGACATTGTAGATCCTGGTTTGTGAAGCACCACTCACATGTACAGCTGCATGGGCTCGATTCATGTTCCATCTGGAACTCCCTTCAAGCATGTACATTTGTGTGTGCATCGCATTAGATTTCCAGCCTTAAAAAAAGCAAAACATTTTAAATATAATTAGCATTAATGAAGCGATGATACACTTTTCCCCATGTGTGCAATCTATCATACTGTTTTTATGACAATTAAAAATATACATTATTTGTACCCGGGATGAAGGTGTTCTGATGCCGATGGAAGCTCTCCACAGAAGAGGAACCTCTGCCACATCTTAGGACATCCAGAACCTTACTGCCCTTTTGCAGACCTGATCCGACTTTGGTGTACAGTTCCACACCAGGGGGATCCTGAATGCATGGCAAATGTTTTTGTTGAACCTCCCACACACGTGTCATGCTCTCAGGATTGATAAGCCGCAAACCTGATGTGTCAGTGAGCTCCCACATTGAGTTGAGCAAATCTTGGATGAGGGCACGGCTTTCCTCTATCCCACGAGTTCTCCTCCTGCAGTGTTTGGCCAGTTCGCTGGAGCTGATGTTGGCCAGAACTTGCGCTTCTGAAGGAGTCTGACCAGCATGTCGTTTCTTGAGCTCTGAAGTCTTTGCATCTTTCAGATGGCTGATGTCATCCTTGTCCCACTCAAAAATGCAGCTCGACATTTTGGAACAGAAAGTGCCATACAGGGGATGGTGTTCTGTAGTCAGACCAGTTGTGAATCGCCTCATGTAATGGAAAATATCCAATTTAACCTGTGTTTTCCAAGGTCGAAACCAAACTTGAACCGGGGTCAAACCTGTGCAAATAAAAAAACAAGGTGTGAATGTAAGCATGTAATTAAAATACAAATGTAAACGTGACTGATGAGGGAAGACCAGGTAAGTAGTTGAATGAGCAGAATGTCAGGTGTAAAGCAGGAGAGCATCTGGTGGAAAGACAGGGAATGGCAATTGATGGTTTAGAAGAAGTGGGAATGTCATCATGGAAAGACCCTTCTTATTTGTGCCTCCTTGTCTCATCCAGGACAGACACCTTAATATATGAATGTGTGTGTACTGTGTAAAATAATAATAATAATACAAATGTTGGTAATATGTAATTGTCACCTTATGCCACGTTGCAGTTTGAATTAAGCAATCATACACGAGAGGCCGTTCTTTAACGTCATTATTGGTACGACAGTACTGCGGCAGGACCGAGGCGCTTGCGCCGAGGTCCGTACGCCTGTACTGGAGGCAGTTTGCAAGCAAGCAGTTTGCTTTTCAGGCCAAGGGTATACCGTTTTTCTCAGACGCGGAGGGATACTGACTTGTTGTGAAAAGGCACGTTCTATTTGACCGTTCTTTGATCGTGGAATCAAACACGCCTATTGACCAATCAGAGAGCTTGCTCACACCTATGTGTTATAGAATACAAAGTAAACAATATACATAAATAAAATACACATATGATGCTGCATCAAATATAATTTTAAATGGTTTAAAAGGATGTCTCTTTTTTTAAATGCCTTTTGCACTGAATCCTCTCTCCTTATGTCTCTCCCTTAGATTTGAGGCAAGGGAAGTGGGGAAAGAAATCAAAGATGTACAATCTTAGACTGGTGGTATTCATATAGAATGAAGTACCTTATTCTAAACAAGAAGAGTGTTATGTTTACACGTTTGTAAAGGTTTTAATTTTGTGCGTGCAATAAATAACACAATGATACACAAACAGTCAAACTGCCTAATACCTGTCTCGTTGCAGCAATGTCGGTCAACATATATGACTTCTGGCTCTGGCTCCCCAGCGTCTTGGTAGCGCTTGACGATGCCTTGGCACAAGTCCTCTAGACCAGCTCCCTCACCAGTGGTTAGGACACAGTTCAGAACCTCGCCACATTCATTACTGACGTTTGTCATCCATGTGGCCGTGTCTGCAATGGCCCCGGCAAGTTTCTTAGTGATCTATAAAACATGTAAATCCAATATAAAAACATAATCAAGTGTAACTCATGACAATTAATTTTTAATTCATTGTCATGAGTTACACTTGATTATGTTTTCATAGAACATTAACAAATATTTTTTTGCACCTTCTTTGTGGAGTCAAGTTTTAAGATCCTGCCATATGTGGATGTGATTATCCCCTTCATCTCCTCCAGATGACCCAGGATCTCATTGGCATGGACCGTCTCAAACCACTGTGCTAGAGGTAGGGGGCTGAAGCGCGGTGGACTCATATAGACTGCATCAGATTGAGTCATTGTGCTCCTCTTTTTGTGGAGCTCACAGTCAGCCAAGTACTCTATTGTGTGCCTTGCCCACTCCTCGCTGTGGACTTCCTCCAGTGCTTGCTGCAGGTAGCTGGAGCTGTTCCCTACAGTCCGAGGTTTAAGCATGGTCACACACTTCCTGTCCAGAGCCAGCTGTGCTGTGAGAACTGCAGGAAACCTGTTCCTGTGAGCAGGATCTAACTGAACCAATAAATCCACACTCCAAGGACACACAGGGATCATGCACTTACTGCACCGAGGATAGTCACCGCCGACCAAGTAGTACCGTGAATCAAGGTCGATGACTTCCCGTACCTTAGGGTATATCCCTGAGTGATGCATCTTCCTACCGCACTGAGCGCACTTCAGTGGAATACCCCACATCCTCATCGGTGCCCACAGAAACATCCGCTGCCTGTTCATGGGTTCAGGTGGAGCAGTTGTAATTTTTGGTGGATTTGGGGGATGGAACCAGTTCTGGGAGAACTGTTGCCTAAGCTGTCCTGTGGGCTCGTAGAGACACGTCGCAATCCACTCCTGGTCGGCTGGTTTGATGACCCGCTTGAACTGGTTGGGGAGAAACCTCACCAAATTCACCTCTGGCGGCCTCAGATGAACGAGAGATGGAGATGTCTGATAAAGAGGAGAAGGAGGAGGTTGTGGCTGTTGCGGTATAGGAGTCGGTTGTGTTGGTGGTGCAGAGGTGTGTTGTGTTGGTGGTGCAGAGGTGTGTTGTGTTGGTGGTGCAGAGGTGTGTTGTGTTGGTGGTGCAGAGGTGTGTTGTGCTGGTGGTGCAGAGGTGTGTTGTGTTGGTGGTGCAGAGGTGTGTTGTGTTGGCTGTTGTTTTTCACTCCTGCTGGTGCTCGAAAGATGGCAATCTTCAATGTGTTTGAGTAGCTCCATTGCACCCCTGGTCTTCTGTCCACACTGCTCACAACACTGCTCTGCGTGAAAGTCAGCCAAATGCTCAAAAAAGTCTTCAGCCCAAATATCCATACTACAGAGAGAGCAGTTGATATGAGTGCTTGAACTGCTCTGTGTGGTGGTGACAGCTGGAGGGCATGATGCACCTGCACTGCTCTGTGTGGTGGTGACAGCTGGAGGGCATAATGCACCTGCACTGCTCTGTGTGGTGGTGACAGCTGGAGGGCATGATGCACCTGCACTGCTCTGTGTGGTGGTGACAGCTGGAGGGCATGATGCACCTGAGCTGCTCTGTGTGGCGGGGACTGACTGCTGTGTCCCTGAACTTGAGCTGCATGCTGCCTCCAAGTTCTGACTTCCTGATGCAGCTGCCTGATCACCTGACTGTGGAAAAATAGAGGTTATCAAAGTAATCAAAGTCAACTTTATTGTCAATCTTCTGCTTGTATGATACAGACAGGGAGATCGAAATGCTGTTTCTCACAATCCAGAGGAGTACATATACATGTGTGTATGACTAAATAAATATGACTGAATATACATTTTGAATGTTATTGTTAACAAGAGTAAAGCAATTCAAGCATAGCTATTAGGGACATAATTGCAAACAATGCATTTTCCTGTGCAGACACCTAAAAGTGAATACACATTGGCTTATGGCAACAATCGTCCGTACAGGATTCACTTAAACTGAATTATCTAATTTAAATATAACCATCACTCACCACATGATATCCACATTTGCAGAGGATTCTTCTGCCGAAGATATCAATATACCGGACTGGGAGGTTGAATGTAGGTGTCAAAGGACAGGCGTCAATACGCTGAATGACAGACTTCCATTTCTTGGACTTCGGTCTCTGTCCCGTGCTGAACCGGTGCTTCCCCTGGGCATACTGGTGCATGATACCAGCCCAACAACCGTCAGGTTTACCTGTCTTCGTCATCACTGAAATAGCAAGGAAAATGTCAGTTGGTGAAATTAGATAAATATACATAGAAAAGGATATATACTGTAAACATGACATTGTATTGTCATTGATTTGTTCTACTTAGCAGTATGTAATGAAATAAGCGCCAGCCACATTTAGCAGCAGCAGCAGCAATATTAATTGA